TCTCTGGAATTAATTTTTTCCACTGACATGAGAAAAGCAAGTTCATTTTTTTCAAACCGTAACTGATTTTGATAATGTTGATGATAAAGCTTGCTGTATGTTACGTTTACATATTTGTTTTTTTGTTTGTCTTACAAATGTCCAGCTAAAGAGAGCCTTAATGGACATATGATTATATTTGTATGTTGGTGGGTATACACTTTGTCGGTCTTCTAAAACAGTTACTCTGTTTTTTATTGTTAGATAATTAGGTATTAGTCTAATTCATGGTGTCTATGCTATTCCATACTCTGTGTTTTACATTAAATCAGAGTTTAATGATTCATTGTACACGATCTACTGCAAGATAGAGTATTGGAGAAACTTTCACCAATTATTTAAGTGCATTTATTTGGCTCGCAGGAGCTTAGCTGTGGCTGCCTCTTCCTGCATCATATACTCTGAATTGCAAAGAATAAGAATAGGTGAGCTTCTAAGCGATAGCTGTGCACGGAGGTTGATATCGCAAGAGAGGTGAAGCAATTCTTAACTGAGCATAGTCATCCATTCATTTCTTAAAACCAAGCTGACTTTGGCGTGTGCTGAAATGGGAATCTATGAAGAAATGGAATTTTGCAACAATCTGGACTTTTTCTCGGCACCTCCTGGAGAAATGGATGTGGTTCCAGAACGCGAACCAGAGGCAACAATTGAGGAGGATTACAGCGATGAAGAGATGGATGTGGACGAGCTGGAGAGGAGGATGTGGAGAGACAGAATGTTGCTTAGGCGACTTAAAGAGCAGAGTAAGAATACAGAAGTTGTTGATAATGCAAAACAGCGTCAGTCCCAGGAGCAAGCACGAAGGAAGAAGATGTCACGAGCGCAAGATGGTATCCTGAAATATATGCTGAAAATGATGGAAGTTTGCAAAGCTCAGGGTTTTGTGTATGGGATCATTCCTGAGAAGGGAAAGCCAGTGAGTGGAGCATCTGACAATCTCCGGGGATGGTGGAAGGAAAAAGTCAGGTTTGATCGGAATGGGCCTGCTGCTATTTCCAAGTATCAAGCAGACCATGCAATCCCTGGAAAGAGGGAAGATTGTGGTCCAGCAGCATCCACACCTCACACCTTGCAGGAACTTCAGGATACAACTCTTGGATCGCTTCTGTCAGCCCTGATGCAGCACTGTGATCCACCTCAGAGGCGTTTCCCACTGGAGAAAGGCGTTGCCCCCCCGTGGTGGCCCACTGGGAATGAGGAATGGTGGCCTCAACAGGGTTTGCCCAAGGATCAGGGTCCTCCTCCATACAAGAAGCCTCATGATCTGAAGAAGGCTTGGAAAGTCAGTGTTCTAACAGCAGTGATTAAGCACTTGTCTCCTGATATTGCCAAGATTCGCAAGCTTGTTTGTCAGTCTAAATGTTTACAGGATAAAATGACTGCCAAGGAGAGTGCCACTTGGTTGGCAATAATTAATCAGGAAGAAGCACTGTCTCGAAAATTATACCCAGATAGCTGCATTCCCATGTCTGCTGGTGGTAGTGGTTCTTTTATCATCAGCGATTCCAGTGATTATGATGTTGAAGGAGTGGATGATGAGCCCAATGTTGAAGTAGAGGATTGCAAACCTCTTGATGTCAATCTTTTCAACATGGCAACAGCAGCTGCACCAAGAGATAGATTTATGATGCCACCAGGGGCTCCACAAATTAAGGGAGAACATGTTGAGACAAACATGAGTTTCATTCAGAAAAGGAAGCAGCCTGCTGGTGAGCCACATATGATGGTTGATCAAAAGGTGTATAGGTGCGAGTATCCTCAATGCCCCTACAATGATTCCAGAATTGGGTTTCTCGACGTCACTGCAAGAAATAATCACCAAATGAATTGCTCATACCGCACAAACACTTCTCAGGGATTTGGAATGTCTAATTTCCAAATTAACAGTGACAAACCAGCTGTGTTTTCTCTCCCATTTCCCCAAACTAAGGCAGCAGCTCCAAACCAGACCCCTTCATTTAATGTTTCAGGACTTGGACTTCCAGAAGATGGGAAAAAATCGATTTCTGATCTTATGTCTTTCTATGATACCAATCTTCAGCGAGACAAGAACATGAATCCTGGAAGTGCCAATGTTGTTGGAGATCAAACACAGCAGCAACTGCAAGAGCAGAAATTTCAATTCCATCTGGACCGCAGGAATGTCAGTTTTATGGGGGACCAAAATCTGCTGCAGCAACAGCAACAACAGAAATTTCAGTTTCAGCTGGATTCTAGGAATGCTAATGTTGTTGGCGGTCAAAATCAACACCAACAGCAGAAATTCCAATTTCAGGTTGATGATAGCTTCTATGGCCAAGGGGCTATAATGGGAAACAACATAACTGAAGTGACCAGCATGCCAGTGAACAATTCTGCTTTTCCATCAACTGAAATTGAGTTTGATCACTGCAAGGCATTTGATTCTGCATTTGATGCCAATGTCAATGATAATGTTGTTGACTTCAGATTTGGCTCTCCGTTCACCATGCCACCAGTTGAGTATTCCATGGATCCAATGCCAAAGCAGGATGCTGGCATGTGGTACGTCTAACACTCTGGGAAGAAAGGCATCATCAACACAGAGTCTGCTTCATAGTTGCGAAACTTCATCACCAACACAGTTTCTGCTTGATAGTGCTGAAACTTCTTCCTTGCGAGTTTTAGTAGCTTAATATGTTCGTATATGTAGATGTTTGTGAACTTCTGAGTTTATGTTCTGCTACTTTATGTTGCTAAGTCTAGGATTTCTAGGTTGCTTTCAATGCAGTATTGAAGAGGGCCAATAAAGAACTGGCAAGGACCAAACCCATGTTCAGTACTGCTGTCGAAAAGTTTATATCGGCATGTAGTTAAATATATGTGCACGCATATCAATATATGGTGGTTTCATACGCTATGCTGTATTTTGTGTTTGTGCAACATCCCTGCATTCCTTGATTGGTCTATTTTTTGATCCCGCTAGATATGATTAGAAAGGGACCTTATAATGCCTCCACTTTCTCAGCTTGTTCAATGCACTTGACCAGTTTTTCTAAAGGTACTTGAACAGAAATGCTTCTTTTCCTGTGTGCACAACACACCCTCACACAGACGGCAGAGACAAAGTAGTGGTGGAGTCCAGGAAGAGTTGATGGATGTTAGCTGAAGTTACAAGAAAGATGTGGAATTCTATCAGGCAGCAGCAGTCAAAAATTGGCAACAGTATCTACCACATCAACCATGGACTCATCTTTTTTGCATCTCAGGACTTCCAGCACTAATATGCTTTTCTGTCTCGGGTCAAAAAACTTTATGGAAAGATTCTTTTGCACGTTAAACACATGCCTTTCTTTTCTGTTTGAAGCAGCGATGATCTGATAGGGCTGTTTTGATATCATTGATAGGGCTGTTTTGATATCATTCTTGTTTCTGTTTTCTCTATTTTGTGTACAAATTTCAACTCATACACGGTTGAACTCCTACTGAGGGTTCAAAATCTTTACCATGGATCCAAGCTCTCTCTCATCCCTGAATCCCTATCTTCCCTGCCTAAGGTTTGAGGCTAGGGTGTCCTGGTGGAAGACATGACATGGGGAGTTAAATTCATGCACCGAGTATATAGATGTGCGAGACTTCCTGGTCTGATTGGAGGCGGGAAAAATAATTAAATTGATGGTTTTTTAAAATACATGTACCATGAAAAATTAATGATTTGATACAAACACATGGAATTATCCATCAGATGTTTTATAAAGTATTTTTTATTTTTAAAAAAAAAAACTGACTTGATGCTTGTTTTATATGCCAAAATCATAAAAAATTCAACTAGAAAACATCAATTTTACAACTTTCTCAAAGAAAAATAATTGAAACAAACACATTCAATGGCATTATCAATCAGACGTTTAAGAGATTAAGAATCACACTAGACGGCAAAATATAAGACAGGTCCCATGCTTTTTGTTTGGCATGGGGAAAAGAAAATCCTGGGAAGGTCAGTCAAAGTTAGGCAGGTTTTGGAAGTGAAGGTATTTGCCAATGGAGCGAGTCCTTTTCACCCCCTGCACCCTTTCCTTCAACCCCATCTCTTGTCTTCAATTTTCCAATTTGGGCCTTCCTTTACATTATCAGACAAGCGTGTGCATACAAGATGCTTGCACACTATTTCTTAAAGCTAAAATAGACTCTACAAGATCTAGAAGAGACCATGATCCCCCAATTATGTTTGTGTTTACTAATTTATTTTTTTAATGGTAAATTTCATTAAATCCTTGAGATATCATATTATGAAAATATACATATATCACATAAATCTTATTTTTTTAATAAATAATAAAAGCTTATTGAGAATGAAGTGAATTATTAATTGATTTATAAAGACACTGTGTCCACGCTCTGTGATCACTAACATGAAAAAAAATACTAATTCAATAGCTAAATAATAATGTAAAATATTAATTATTCATAAATTTTGTGTTTGGAGGTGGAACCCTCGAGAAGGTTTAGAATAACAATCTCGAGCTCTTGCTAGGTATCAAATAAATTACTATTTAAATCGAGATAAAAAATTTACTGACATGTAAAAAAAAGGTAAGAAAAAAAAATTTATAATATCTTTTTAATCATAAAAGTAGTTTATGTAGCTTTTAGATGCTCCAAACAATTATTATAATAAATATTCTGCGTGATATAATTTGTCACCATCCAACCTTTCTATTATTCACTTGGTAAAATTCAATGCAAATTCTAATGATTCCTTGTCATGGGTCCTCCTCAAGGAAAGTTGAGGGATACTATTTATTGTCTTGAATTCTTCTTCTTTTCTTCTTTTCATGTAGTTTTAACGGTGAAGAATTTGGAGATGTCTTAATCTAGTTTGGGTAGCTGGAATAATATAGCTTTATCACAAAAATAATAATAAAAAACCATATTTTTTTTTCTTTTTTAAGAAATGGTGGATAGATTCAGCAAACAAGCAACAGGCCTAGAAAAGTTGAATAGGAAATTTTTTTACACAGCCTCTATTTGGGTTAAGAGCTACACAACAATCAGGCCACCCCAAATACGTTTATACCTTGCCAAAATCACATGATATCCTATTGGAAAGTAAGTAAAATACTATGTATTAGCCCTTAGAATGCTGATCAAAAGATAAATTTGCAGGACAACCAGGGCGTCACCTTGTTAGCTCCAAAAAGTGGATATTCTGGTTAATCTGCACCTGGCCATGGACATCATCCAATGGAATTGGGTCTTTTATGCAGTTATTTGGGGATCTATAGGTGCAACTTCCATTTGTGTCATGATCCTCAATGCCATTCCTATGTTTGTTGGCTCCTGGTATGTCCTCTTCTCTTCCAGAGATGTAGATATTACCTGTATCTATTCTCCCCTCAGCTAAGTTCACAAAGAAAAGTAACGTATACATGGACTAACTAATGCTTGCAACTGTGACGTAATCTGACAGGGCAATCTTCAACATGACGGTGGAGGGATCTTTTTGGGTGTGCTCGCTTGGTATAATCATAGCAGCACTCCTTCCTCGTCTTGATGGCATTCAGATTGCAAGAGAAGCTGAGAAGTTCGGCTGTAACGTTTTGAATTAAAGAGAGGAAAAGGCTATAAGCCCTTGAAGGTTTAGATGTAGGAATAAATGAATGAAGGGTATTATGGTAATTTAATAAAATTTGATAAATATAAATAAGAAGTAAAAAAAATAAAAAGGTGTGAGATTAAAAGTGAAAAACTGATGGGAGAAGAGAAGAAAAATAAAAAAAAAATAAAAGGAAAACAGGAAGGAATTAAAAAAAATAAAAAAAAATCGAAGAAAATAAATTAAAAAGTAAGATTTACGCTTTAACATGTATAACGGTTATGGAAGCACCGCGTGATTGTTACGCTGGAGGAGATTTTGGGCTTGATGGGTCTAATTTAAAGTGAATCACGTATGTGTTAATTCACCTCAGGCCCGTATCTCATAGGCCCACAGAGTCTTCCCACAAAAAAGACCCACTCAGCAGATGAAGGCCCAGATAGAATAACCTGGGCCTAATCATTCCTTGATTAATAGCTGATTAAAGTCTCTTTGTAGCTTAATTATGCAATTGTGGCCTTTCCAAGGCAACAGCGGACCCTCTTAAAGAGTGGTTATGGAAGCAGCCTCCCGTAAGGTTTTTGTTTTTATATATTATATATTTATAAGAGTCCTTGAATTTATAAATTGTTTAATTATATCCCTACATCGCAAATCTATGCACAATTAGATCCTTAGCTTATAATTTTTTTCCTACTCATTTCCAAAGCTCAAAACCTCTCTTTCCATGTGTGTTTAACATGTATACGAGTTTCAAGCAATAAAATACATATTCTTAACATAGATTTCTTTAATGAATGTTCTCATCTCTTGTTTCTAATTTTCCACTATGGTCAGTTCTTTACATTATTCTCATCTCTTGTTTCTAAAACTATCACTTCATGTCTTTTATTAATTGTCTGCCTGAACCCAAAACACAGCAGCACAAAACCTACAAGTTTTGGAAGGAATGGGGACTGGTGGTTGGGTCGTTTGATGCCCGCATACTGGTGGTTGGTTACATCATGTCTTTTGTATATTTTAACGAATACCATAATAAAATATCAAGAACATGATTATATAAATTAAGGATGATGTACAATTAAGGGGCAGGTTGCAAGGTTAAAGAAATTTGTTGTCTCTTGCTTCTTAAGTTTGAATCTCGAGATCCTCGTCTAAATGAATGTCTTTAATTACACCAAATTAAATTTAATACCCTTCAAAGAAGAAAAACTTAATCTTGGTCATTCGGGTATAGTTTAGCCATCAAAACCCCATAAAAAAGAGAGGAAAAGTGAATAAATATCAAGAGTTTTGATTAAGGTGAAAATGAAAATGTCCTCAAAATTTAGATTGGCCATGACTCTAATTCCATGTTAAACTCTTGCCTTGTGCCAAAAAGGAAAAGAGAAGAGAGCTTGTTATGCAATGAGGCAAATGTCTTTTACTATTACAAGATTATATTACCAAACGCTCCATGATATGGACCGATGATCAAAGCTTAAACCTTGAGTTTAAGATAAAGAATTTTGAAGATAGATATGGAAACTCAGTATACTAATAATCAAGGTTTAGTTGCCATGTCTCTGTCTGTTTTTCTTCTGCTCCTATCTCTTGTTTCCACATGAATTTCATCATAGTTTATAGCATAAACTAATGCAAAAACTCCTCTCGAGGTGATGTCAATCTTTGCACGAATCCGCGTTTCAACTTTGTCTCTTCTCTCCCTAATAATTGATTAATACAATATGTCCAGTTCTTCCCATTATTTGTTTTTGTCTGAAAATTCCAAGTCTTCAAGATTCCATTTCTGTTGTGTGTTTGGTAGTTAGTTTCCATTCCGGGAAATTGTCTCCATGGGACAGGAAACAAGAAAACTTTAGATGAGTATGAAGTTTCTGACATCCTTGGAAGAGGTGGATTCTCAGTTGTCAGGAGAGGTATTATGAAGACAAGTGGAGGTAGAAGGCAGGTAGCTATCAAGACATTGAAAAGATTAGGCCCATCAGCACCATCAGGAATTCCGCGGTCTCGCGGTGATGGTGAGAGAAGCTTTGCTTCGTTCAAATTTCCAACATGGAGGCAGGTTTCCGTATCCGATGCTTTACTTTCAAATGATATATTGGTTATGAGAAAGATAGTAGAAAATGTATCGCCGCATCAGAATGTGGTTGATCTCTATGGTGTTTATGAAGATCAAAATGGTGTGCATCTTGTGTTGGGGAGCTTTGTTCTGGTGGAGAGCTGTTTGACAGGATTGTCGCTCGAGACAAGTACTCCGAGCGTGATGCAGCAACAGTAGTTAGGCAGATTGCAGAAGGATTGGGAGCTCTTCACAGGGCTAATATTCTTCATAGAGACTTGAAGCCAGAGAACTGTCTTTTCTTGAATGAAAACGATGATTCTACCTTGAAGATCATGGACTTTGGATTGAGTTCTGTAGAAGAGTTCACTGATCCGGCTGTTGGGTTGTTTGGCTCCATTGACGATGTCTCACCAGAAGCTCTTTCTCAAGGCAGAATTAGCTCTAAAACTGATATGTGGTCTTTGGGAGTAATCTTGTATATCCTGTTCTCAGGGTGAGTTAATTTTCTTGTGTCTCAAATTGTAGCCTCTCGTCTTGTTGCCACAAGTTTGCAATCAATATCCCAATCTTCGGTTCAAGTTCTTAGGTCTTTTGTTTTCTTTCCTTTGATATTTCAGGTATCCGCCATTCATTGCTCAGTCCAACAGGCAGAAACAAGAAGTGATACTTGCTGTATGGATAATTTTTGCCTTTACCAAAGCTAGATCATTTGCTTCATTGTTCAGTTCATCTTACTTCCGTGGTTCTGAAAGACAAATGCTTTGCAGGGTGATTTCAGTTTCTATGAGAAGACATGGAAGAACATGACTGCATCAGCAAAACAACTGATCACTGATCTCCTGCAAGTTGATCCGGAAAGGAGACCGAGTGCTCAAGATGTAATGATGCCCAAAGCCTTAACTTATTGGTCTCTTCCTATTATTATTGAGAGCCGTCACTAAGAAAAACATACTGCATGTAATGATGCCCAAAGCCTGAACTTATTGATCTCTTCCTATTATTATTGAGAGCCTTCACTAAGAAAAACATACTACATGTGGTGACAGGTTCTAAATCATCCTTGGGTGATAGGGGGTTCTGCAAAAGAGGAACAAATGGACCCTGAGGTTGTCTCAAGGCTGCAGAGTTTGAATGCCCGTCTCAAATTCCGTGCTGCAGCAATTGCCAGTGTGTGGAGTAGCACAAATTTCTTAAGAACCAAAAAGTTAAAATCCCTACTAGGATCACATGACCTCAAGGAGGATGAAATTGAAAACTCAGGCTATATTTTTCCAAATTGTGAGTACTCACTATTTCCTGCCTCAAATTTTAGTGCAGTTTTCATTGAGTTCTAGGTTTATCAGCATTTAAATTGAATAAAGAAACTCTAGAATCAAGCTGGCATGAGTTTGATTGCCCTATATCACCAACCTTCGATATTCTAATCGAGAGATATATTTATGTGTAGGTGTGCAAAAGGTGATAATGCTACTCTATCCGAATTCGAGGAGTTGCTGAAAGCAATGAACATGTCATCACTGATCCCTATGGCACCCCGCATCTTCGATCTATTTGACAACAACCGTGATGGAACAGTTGACATGAGAGAGATACTTTGTGGTTTCTCCAGCCTCAGGAACTCTCGAGGAGATGATGCTCTCCGTCTGTGCTTCCAGGTATGCTCTCTTCCCCGATTCCCCTCCATTTTGCAACATCAAGAAGTAACTTATCAAGCTAAGGTTATTTTTTCTTTTGCTTTAATGTATGATACAGATCGATCCGGGTGCATTTCCAAGGAAGAAGTGGCATCAATGCTCAGAGTAAGCTGCTTCCCTTGCAATTTTTATAGCTTGAAAAGTTTAAACTGCTTCGAAGACTAGATGACATATGGAATGTTTTTTGAGCAGGCTTTGCCCGAGGACTGCCTTCCAGGAGATATGACAGAGCCAGGGAAATTGGACGCGATATTTGATAGGATGGATGCCAACAGTGATGGAAAAGTCACCTTTGATGAGTTCAAAGCCGCAATGCAAAGAGACAATTCACTTCAGGATGAACTCCTCTCATGTCTTCGGCAACAATAATTTTCTCACTTCCTACTCTCACCATCATCTTTCCATCTATGCATCTTGTTTTTTTCTTTACAAAGCCTTTCTTTCAGCTAATGCTATACAGGCAATAGAGATGGTGACTAAATGAGGTAAATGAAATTCTCTCTTAATTTGCTGTCGAAGTTAGGAACTTCTCGTTGTGATGGATATCAAACCAGTAGAAGCATGGATATCAGGGAATATAGCTCAGCCATTCTTGATGCTTGAATAGGTTTCACTTCATAGACAGAACTTTTCAATAGATCTTAGTAATATTCATAATGTATCCATATGGTCAGGCTCAATTCACCTGCTAATCTTCTCCAATAATTGTGCATTTGTCGAATCAAAATTTGGTTTGGTTAAATGGAATAGCCATACTACAGTCAATTAAATACTAATATTGGAATTAGTTCTGGCACCATGGCCTTGGTGGGTTTGACTCTAACAATGGCAGAAGAAAGGGGCTGGTACAAGGGAAAGGGAGGTCATTGGCAAACTGGTGAAGTAGCAAGTTCTAGCAAGCTCTTTCAAATGAACTATCTGTATGCACACTGTCAAACAATGCAAAACCTTCCCATGGGGTTACGCAGTACAATATAAAAAAGTCCCACCTAAAATAATTGAAAATACGCATGATCTGAGTTGGAAGCTGCAGTAGTTTTGAATCTGCAGGGAAAGAAAATGAATTTATGCCCATCCACTCTGTAGTATTGTAGAATTTACACACAAATTCTTGCCACAAAATGAAATCGTGCAAGATCCAAAATTCTATATTTCCATTCAACATAATCAGGATAATTCCCTTGATTTAGCAATTTCTACAACGTGAATGAAAATAGTTTCACAAATAGATTCCAGACAATTATATGAACTCTCCAATTTGCTATCCTATGACAAACTAAGTGGGTCGCTACAAATCATCATCTCCATCAAGACCTTTTGTGAGATCACTGCTTCTGTCATCAGTACTCTCATTGGAGTTGGAATCATCAGTATTTTGCACTTCATGATTCACTTCCTCATTGGTGACTGTCACATCCATCCAGCTTAAGTCTTCTTCCAAATCCTCCACCCAGTCTCCCATATTGGCATCCATAGCTTCTAAGCATGTAGGATCAATGTTGTTTCTCATGCACCTGGATTTAGTTTCCTCAGCTCGCCTTCTTGGATGTAAAGCAGAAAAATTAGCATTTGCAACATTCTACATTCAAGGAGAGTTTAATCAAGAGAAGAGGATCACAAGGGTGTAAAATATCATTTAATATCATATCAGGACGACAATAAAAGTTCTTATAAAAGCTAATCAACTCCGATGAAATGCAAAGTAAAGTTTTTTAATCAATTACTTTCTCTCCAACGTGAATAAAGCATTGACAGACCTTATGAAATTGTGCAGGAACTAAGGATTGATCAGTGGTAGTGAAATTGGTATCATGACTTCATTAAGGATAACAATCAATCCATGATGCCTAATCCAAGGAATGCTTGGTAAACACAAAAAATTGAACACGGAATCGAGTCATCAAGATTTCTTTCATTTTTCAGACCCAGAGGATGGAAGAAAATGTGTACGACAGAGCTTCCAGTCTATCGGCCAACAAAACAGCAGCAATGAAACTGATGAGGAGAAGGAAAATTACCTCTCTTTTAGGAACAAGTTATGGTGAGCAAATGTAAGGTCACTTAATCTCTGCTGCTCCAATCGATTTCTCTTCTTATACTGGATACATTCAAGCATGCTCCAGCTCCCCTCATATGTGGTGATGCTACAGGTCTGACTTAATATCCTGACTGCTAAGCGCTGCAGATCAGGGTAATCTGATGCATAGAGTGACCACCATGTAGCTGCATAAATAGACAGGTTTATTTAGTAATAAATTATAAAAGAACTTGGTTATACAAACTTTGTTATGGACATTAACCTGGCACTAGTGATTTTCGTCCATGTAATGCCACAGGCCGACCAAAATCCCCTACGGCTTCCTCATAGAATTTTATATGGCTAGTGATTGTAACTTGGGCAGATAAACTAGGCTCTATGGTCTCAATGCAATCAAGTAAACCTTTTTGAATGACTTTGTTGAAGGAGAAATTGGCATTATAGAATACAGCTGGGTTGAGATGGTATGCAGCTGCATGAAGAGGGCTATGGAATTCCTCTTGCCAGACATGATCAATAATCTTCAAGTATGGTGCATAATCAGATTCCATATTGTCAAATGCTGCAATAATACTTTTCTTTGCCTTTTCCATCGCATCATATACATATCCCATGGATGGTCTATCTTCACAGTCCATGAGGTGTAAAACGGAAAGCAGGGGCTTTGCAACATTCAAAGCATGGTCACACATGGACCAGAAAAGTTGATCCACCAAAATTTCTGCCACCTCAATTCCTGCTCTTTGCTTAGTAAAAGATGACTGCATCCATGAGTTGCTTGTAAACATCTGCTCAAGATGGCCTTTCAACGTTACAATTGTTTGCAGTGTCAAGAAGATGGAAGCGAACCTTGTCCTTGAAAGTTGGATAATATCTCTTCCACCTGTTTTCTTCCTCATCAGATTAAGGACCCGAGCATTGTTATAAATGAACCGAGTTACTCTTTTAGCCTTTGCTAATACCTCCTTTACTTCATCTTTCTTTGAAATTTCCTCGAGCATCAGGTCAATGCACTGCACTCCACAGGTGCTGCAGAAAAAGGTCTTATATTTATCTGCTAAGAGTTTTCCAGCAGCTTTATAACTGGGAGAAGTATCTGTCACAAAATTGACAATAATCTTGGGACCAACTTCTTGAACAACACTGTCAAATAGATTACAGAGTCCCTCTGCTGATTTTGTAATGTCTGTCGCATCCACAGATTTCAAAAACATGGTACCCTTGGGACAATAAACAAAAAAATTTATGACTGTGCGATTAATTCTATCCATCCTCCTATCAACTAAAACCGAGCATCCAGTCACTTCCCAAGACTTTCTCAATTCTGTGCAATATTCTCCTGCATCCTGGACACTTCTATTCAGCAATCTTCCCCTCAAAGCATTGTAAGAAGGCATCTTATAGCCAGGGCCTACAGCAGCAATACTATCAGCCATCTGTTGAAAAGTACAAGAATTTGCTGCACTTAATGGCACTCCAGCTTCGTACATAAATCTTGCAACAGCGATATCAGCCTGGTCGATGCTCTCTTGGGAAGCAAGATTCTGGAGCAAAGGTCGAGCAACAACAGGCACAGCCATTGGCAGATATTGCTTCCTGCGTCTCTTGGTTCGCTTAGATGTCCCTTCCAAGACCTCTTTACCCCTTCTCCTGATAGCCATCTTTTGCAGTGGCCCCGCATCATCATTGTCCTCGTCATCTCCTTCCTTATCCTGAAAGTACGACAAAAACGAATTCTTTGCGCTATTTGCTTCTTTCTGCTTTCTTAGCTTCTCCAAAACTTTAAAACCCAAATGCTGCTGTATCTGAACTTTAACTTCCTCGGGTACTTCTTCACACGGAGTTACATTCCCTCTTTCTCCAGCCAAATGTTGCTTCAGTCTAGAAATTCCGCCGCCAAGAAAAATCTTATGACAGTATTTGCACTTGATTTTTTGCCTACCCCCATTAACCATAGTCCCATGAGCCCATCCAGGATCAGTAGCTCTAGGAGGTGCCAAATTCTGGGGTTCATAAACATATCAAAAGTGCAAAACTCAAATACTCAAAAACTACAGTTACTTGAGGTCTAAGCTAAAAAGAAAAATCATCAAACACATCAAATCCTTACATGGTTATTATCCTTAAATTGCATCCTGGAAAACTGTTGGAAAAAACTCTCAACTTCTAACACAGTACTGACTTCAAAAATAAAACATCAGTAGCCCAACAATTAAGTAAAAACAAGAATCAAACGGTCATAAAAAACGAAACTTTTTCACTTACATTTTTAACAACATCAATATCTACCCACAATTATGATCAATCACTACTAAACTAATCATGATTAGCAATTTCAAGACCAAAAAAAACAACCCATTTCAGCTTTCAAGCTAAACTTCATCAACTCACTTGATTAAGCTTCTAAAACTGATAGATTCAATCTTTCAAGTCTGATCATGAAAACAAAAGGAGTGCTTACTTTGTTAAGGAACTGTCCAAAACCGAAATCTCGGGTTTATAGGGCCGAAAAATTGCAATGAGACTCGGCGGTGTCGGGTGTCGGATCCGGAACGCGAGAGTACAAAGCTTTTGGTGTATCGGAAATGTATCGGCGGAATGTGATCGGGGAAAGGATAAAAAGTTCACTCCTTTTTTAGAGAAATACAAGGTAAAAGGGAGGAAATCTCGCTTTCATTAAAGTGGTGCCGTTTCGTAACTTTCGTTCAGCGGTTTTTTTTTTAATATATATATATATAAAATTTTGGTAATGATCAGTTAAAATTAAGAGTTTTTGCAAAAAAAAAAAACAAAAGGAGAATTTATAGACAAATTAGTGCATAGATGATCTTTTTTTTCCTCTTAATAAAAAGAGGGAGAAAAATATTAAACATGAGAAGATAAATTGTATGATTCTCTTCATAAAAGCTAATTCCTTGATTTGTAAAAAGGAATTAAAAAAAGATTTTAACTAATAATTTTGATATATATAAAAGTTTGACTAAATTAATATTTGAGTAAACCTGAACTTAGATAAATATTTTTTTATTATCTCCAATGAAAAAAAAAACACCTTTAAAAATTTCTATATATATTTTATTATTTTTACATTTTAAAAGTATTTTTTAAAAAATTATTATTTTATTTATTTCAAATTAATATTTTTTATATTTTAAATTATTTTAATATATTAATATCAAAAATAATTTTTTAAAACTAAAACTATTATTTTAATATAATTTAAAAAATAATAATAACTAGCACGTTTCCAAATATTTCTATACACGTCCATATAGACTCTAGGCACGAGCCAACATTTCTTGCAAGTGCAAGCGTTGAAGTGGACAAGACATGGACAGTATGAAATGAAATTGAATTGTGTGCTCGTCGTATGTTCAAGGAGCTTCTCACACAGTAACTTTTTTTATTATTAAAATAAATGTTTATCTGAATTAATTTTTACATATCTCAATTAATTTTATAAATTTTAAAATTAATAATTATATAAATTTTTAATAACCATTATATTAACAATTACAAGACAAATTTTTTAGTTTCAAACTCTTGCCACTACACCCCCTTCTAAATAGCTACTTCTCACGCAGGAGTTGATATTGCCGGTGGAGACTCCAACGGAGCCTCAGTGGAAGACAAAGGTCTTGTTTGAAAGTGTGGATCAGTGGCACAAGAAGAAGCTCTTGCTATTCGCGAGTCCCTAGCTTTGGCTTCGGTTTTCCACCCCAAGTGACGACAATGATCCGGTGCTGCTGCTGTGTCAGTCGTCAAGGATTCTACCCCTGTGCATTGAAGGGGAGGTAGAAGCAGCAACTGCATATCATGCATGTCACAGGGTTAAATTTTTCATAATGAAATTCAATCTAATGCAACAGTCTAATCCCAACTAAACTCAGTTTTGCCTCTCCTTTTTGCTTGTGTTTCCTACGATTATGTGTTTCGCTCACCCAACGAAGTTCCCACAATTGCCAAGTCGTATAAAAGAAACAAACACAAGCAAGCACACAAGTTTACAAGAATACCTCTCAACCTTTATTTATCTCATCAACAAAGGATTACACAATACAAATGTGTGTGCTATGTACAAAATCGCATGCTAGACAGCAGAGGCTTGGCAGCCTATTTATAGACAAGTGTGAGTTGCTAGGCTCACCCATAATATCTATTTTTCAGGCCATAACAGGGCACTTACTCTCCATGATCTCCATGATCCCTCATTTTCGAGGCATAGTGGAGCACTTGCTCTCTCATTAACTTAGTGGCTTACATAGTGGAGCACTTCCTTCCCCACTCAGCTGCCACTTCCCCACATTTTGCCCCCATAATACAGCCATATTCTGCCTATCCGCATGGCAGTCTCAACTGTCTATTCTGCTGCGTCAGCTGCTGACTTAGAAGGTCCATTACCTAAGCCCCCACGTCCAGGCTAAGTCGCAAGCTCAACGACTCGCATAGATCATTGCACGCTGCCTGCCGAATTCGTTTCTGTCTATGCAAGGCTGCCGCTGTCCATCGCTGCCGAATTATAGGCAATGTGTTTTCATTGGCGCATCCCCGCGCCCAGAGCCTTAACAGTAGTGTTCTTATAGCTGTAAGTAGGAAAGCAAATCATGCCGCAGATTGGATAGCCAAGGCAGATAGGTCCACAATTCTTCCTTCTAATTGGGTTCATAACCAACCCCCTTAACAATTTTCTTGTATATGCTAGCGAAGGATTAAAGGAATACGGAGCCGTGTGGAATCAACACACTGAGTGCTTAGAAAAGATGAACATAATCTCCAAGAAAATAACAAAATTGAAATAAAGATATAATTTCAAAATGAATAATGTTGTATCCATAACAGATTTCCGATTGTAACAACAGATGCTTTTATTTTCGAGTTAAGCCGAGATCATTAGGATTTTTACTTGGAGCGAACTCGCCGTTGTTGGGTAGCTAGAGCAGCGAGCATAATTCCTTCTATTCTTTGCCATATTTCTTTCTTAATCGTTCTCTGACAAAATCATTACGAGCTTTGATACGAGCTCGTTGAGGAGCAATGTTGACATAGCATTGATGCAAGCCAACAGCAAAAAGAGCAGCTCCAGAAGCAAATAATCCTATAGTCATGGCCAGTTTCTTGGGTGTTGAAGGAAAGCACAATCCCATTTGGTTACCTTAACTAGAAGCACAGACCAATGATCCAAGATTCCTACACAAAACCAACTGAAATGCTTAAACCCCACAAGGAATTGAAGACAAAAATGCGAGAAAGAAACGAAAGAAGGCATCAAATTCGTCAGTGGCCGGCAACCGGCAATTCATCATACACATGGTAGGCATTCTTGGCATATGATAGAACTCAGAAATCATTGAAGAAGAAGAAAATACAGAAAAAAGAAAGATACCAGGAAACTTAAGCGAGATTCCGAAGCTTTTGGTGTATAGGAAATGTTTCGGCGGGGTGTGAACCGGTGTGAGAGGAAAAGGGAACAAAGTTTTCTGGAGGAAAACAAGATAGAGGAAAGCTCGCTTTCGTTGAAGTTTCGCCGTTTCGTGGCTTTCGTTTTTCTTTGTCCAGTCTCCAACTATATAAAAAAATATATCGCTTTTATTTTGTACGAATCTTATTTTCAAACTCTCAATGACTTGAAATAAATGTTTTATATATATATATATATCAAATTCCAAGTTTTTTAATTTATGGTTTCATTCAAATTGTACTTTTATTTTGTAATAAATGATATCATTTTATATAAAATCTAATAGTTTTTGTTGAATAATTATAACCGAGTTTAAGGGTAAAATTAATATAAAAAATAATTTGGTTGTAAGAAATGATACGACACCAAGTATATTTTACGTTTGTCCCTTTTCTTGATGCCTTTTTATCTTCCAAGTTTTGTAATTATTTTTTTGAATCAATTAAAGTAGGAGTTCACAGAGGATACATATACAAATTTTGCATCTATGAGAAGTTTTTTTCTCTTGGATTTTTCTGTTTTTTTCTCTTGGATTTTTCTTACTTGTACCAACTTCTTTCTTGTTAGATAGAAGATCTAATGATTTTTGAGTTGCATAAAGAACAAGAAGGTAATAACCTTAAATTCTATCTTCACATTCTGTAATGATTATAAAGATTAATAAAAAAAAGAAAAAGGAGCCTTGTCAAATAAATCCATTTTTCTGGCCAAGAATTATAATCCTCAAGTCAAGTTTGACTTCAAGAGTGATAAACCACTGCTGGTTTTGAAAAACAGATGAAAAACTACATTATTGGTTGAGAAACAAGTTTACAGTCTAGATTAGAATAAGAAAAGATTTAATTGGCTATTGTATGGATTCATAAAGGGGTCTGGCCTCATTCATTTTGGGAGTGTTGAAAGAAAAATATCCTGAATTAGGTAGATTTATGATGGAAAAAATGGTTTTTCTCCCTTTTCACTCTTCAGAAATCTTCCTATGTAGGCAGCAGAGTTGCTGAATCCTGATGGTGATCTTCCAAGACCGTGTTGAAATCAGTATTGTGACAGTGATTTATGTAGCAATGTGCACTGTTGGGGGGCCTGCACAGAGCATATGGAACCAGGCAGAGATTAAGAACCCTAGAGATAGGTCTGCTGGTAGTTGCAACTACATTTACGGGGGGAGCCAAAACTAATAAACGAAATGACACCAGCTCCAAAAGAGGGGAAACAATAATATATATGCAATGCTCATTCAATATAATATTATAAGACTGTTCGCAATTACTCGCATTTACAAATCAAGTTTCCAGCCCATTGTTACAAGGAAACCATGTATTATCTTATCTAGACGTTAGGAATAAGATTAACAATGCCTAACTACAGCTAATCCAAACTTGGTCATATGGAATAGCAATACCCCATACCTAACTACAGCTAAGGCCACGTCTTGTATGTCACTGGAGCATGCACATCATACACGAATGGTTACCAGACCAGAAAGAGTACACTTCCACTCCTGCTAGCTTTCCCAGTGTAGCTGGAAGCCTGGATCTCTTTCGGGCTCAGCTCACCCAAAGGAATTCTAACAGATTATACCATTCTTGACAGAATTGGTAAAATGAAGCTGCTGCCGGAAAACCTGCAGGAATCACAGATATTCATGTCTGCGCACATTATTTCAGTGTGCCACATTGAAAAGATACCAGAAAAAACACGTCAAAGAGTGGATCAATCAAATCACATTCTAATATGAAGGTGTTTCCAGCCCAGCTGCAAAAATAATCTCCTAAATTTCGGTCATTATATACATGAACCTCAGAAAGTTAAATTCTGACTCAGACATCTTATACTAGCAACTGCCATGTTAAAACTTCAAGTACTACAAGAACCCATTTCTCTGAATATCTTCTTCGAGTGAGAATGTGTTATATAACCAATGCCTAATGTGAGGTAACACTGCAGAACTAGTGTTGGTGGCCTGAAAATGCCAGCATATCATCTACATTCAGCTTAGCATAATGGTAATTTATAATCTAAGAGTGGAAATTATCAGTATTTCATATCTTATAGTTCGCACATAAGGGATTTACACCAATGTGCCAGCACTGGTCAAATCAAAATCAACTAACCAGATTAATGTTTTATAGCCAAGTCAAAGCAATGAAAATTAGTCCATTTTGCCATTCATGGGACAAGCAAATTGAACTCTGCCAAGACATGGGAGTTGGACTAAAGATCTTGTTAATTATTCAATGAGTAGCAAAATTTTAAAATCCAAATGAATCCACTTACAGCTCTCACAGTTGCTCACGGATGTATGCCATTGATCTCAGCATGGAACCAAGTGTGTCTCTAGAAACCTGAAATTTTAACTCTGTTTCTCCAGTTGTTGTCTTGGTATCTTGGAGCTGGAGACAATAAGCCAAAAAAAAAAGAGTTGGAAAAAAAAAAACAATCCTTGCATAATTGTCTATGTTGGCTTTTCCTAGTGATTTATAGGACCAGCAAAAGATTGAAACTTTCAAGTGACCAGATGATGCAATACTACTCATTTGAGATGATATGTAAAATAAAAAATAAATACTAACATGATGTACCTACCTAACATAGGTGCAACAAAAAACTAAATGCCCTGACATTCTCCAAGACATCTAATATTAAGCACGCCTTTGGTGACACTCACCAGCCACAAGATCACAAGGCTGTGAAATGCAAGACAAGCTTGACATTTCTGGGTTTAATTGGCAAGTAGAAAGATAAATGGAGGTTATGGGACATGGTAAGGTTTTGTGGATTTATAAGAACCAAGTTTCCAGAATCACGATCACAGTTCTTCAGTGGGATCTGTGATTGGATCTCAAGCCCGTGTCAACGATGTGCTGCATATAGCATAACAAAGAGATTTTCTATACTTTCTACAAGAGGATGGTGCTAATAGTGAAGGGAAGCAGCTTATGAGCTCACGTATAATGGCCATCTTCGAGATTTTTTTTTTACATCAATTTTTTATTCAGAAAAAACATGGAGCTGGTTTCATTCAAAAGAAATGCCTATGTCATACAAATCTATGCAGACCATAATATTAAACCTTATTAGAGAGAACTAAAAATACACTAATGAAAGTGATTCAATCCAATCTGACACTAAGTATTTAGCCTTACTGTTTTAGTAAGTTTTCACAAACAAGAATAGTAAAATCTGGTTTTGTACCTTCAGATTGATGACAGCAACTCGATTAGCTGGAGTTGAGAGCTGCTGGCTAATGTAGGCCATGGATCTCAACATAGGCTCCAGCGTGACCTTGGTTAACCTAAACTGTACCTCTGTCTCCCCTGATGGATTTTTACCATAATCTTGCAACTAGAGCAAGGACAAGGGAAATAATTGATAATTTATAGCATGCACAACTGAAGCTGAAAATGCTAGAATAATAAAATGAATGTATCAGAATATGCTCATTAGCTAGCATCCATGCTTAATTAATTTGCAAGCATATGAGGGACTAAAATGAACTAATTAACAGTTAGAATTTCATTGGACATAGCAACAGCTGTGAAATAATATGCAAGCTTTGTGCAGAGGAAGCTGGTGCTTTGAAATAACACAATTGGCATAAATTTCTAGCAAATACCGTGTAACTAGCTAATGAAAATTTCTGAAAAATAATGTAAGACTAAGTTTACAAAAGTCAACGGCTCAGTAAAAGGAAAGACTACGTACCTTCAAGTTGATGACAGCTACTTTACCAGCTGGTGTCAAAGTCTTATTTTCAATGACCCAAGTCATGGACTTAAAATAAGTGAGAACCACCTGCATTATTTCAATGAAAGAATCACAAACTATGTTCAGATGCTTGTAAGGAAAAATTTCTATTACCTCAATAGAATAATTTTATGAAAATGATTAGACATTAAAAACATAGGTTCTGCCGCATACCGAGTTATCAGTTGGACCACCATCACGGTGAATAGATACAGGGGCCATGCTGGGCTGATTCAAATCTGCACAAGGTACTCCCCCATCATTAAGATTAAACCGAGGTGGCATAGCATCCTGCCAAGGCCACAATGACGGGATCATTTCATGAGGAGCAGTAGGGGTTTTCTTGTTATTTTCTTCTTGACTATTTCCACTAAAATGTGATCTATAAGGTGTGACTTTTGCAACACTTTTCTTCACAGAAGCAATCTTTGTTCCACCCTCTTTTAAATTACTGATTGCTGCATTATAAGTCTCAATGGCAACTGCTCCTTCCTCTGCATATTTAATAGCTTCAAGGCACAAATTGTTAAAGCGAGAGGTCAGAGTATCAAGACCTTGTGAATCCGCACTCTGTTCCTCTGATCCAATCCAAGATTTTGCATTCCTTGTCCATCGCTTCAATATGTAGTGAGATGGGAGGGTAAGAATATTTGTTACAGTGAAGACAGTTAGTATATGTCTACAGAGAATGCCACAATATTCAAACATCTGGCAGCTACAACTTGCTTGCATCTCAGATATATTCAACATCACTATGTATGCCTTGTCATCATGCTCATATTTTGCAACCCTGTATTTAGTGGCCATCCCGTCTCGTTCAATCTTATTTGCTGTATACACAAAAGTTTCAACTAGTTCTTCCTGAAACTTTGTGAACACTTTCTTGGTATAAAGGTTTGCAGCTTGTTGTTCCATTGGCGATGGTGTCTTAAGTACAGGAGTGGTGCAAATTGTATCATAGTCTGCTTCTATTTCCTTTTCCAAAGAATGTTCAAGCACGAGTTCATATTGTTTAAAGAACAAAGGTATTGTGGTCTGTTGATTCACATACCCATCAAAGAGGGAGCTGATACCATGATTTGAAGAAAGGGCAGCAAAGAAAGTGTTACGAAAATAAACCGGTGCCCACTGTTGGCGAGCATTGTACACAGCTTGAAGCCACTCTATCCTTTGGAGGTCGTATTTTTCAAGGAGAGAGGCCCATGATGATTCAAAATCCTCAATTGTCTCAGAAAAGTTAATGCAGCTATAAAGCTCTCCATAGAAGGAAGGATGAGCAAGATATATATGAGCCAACCTATCTTGGCCTTCTCTCAAGATGTGCCACTTGCAAATACAGTGACGAGTTTCTGGAAATACCTGCGCAACAGCCATGTGTATGGCTCTATCTTGGTCTGTGGTGAAAGAAACAGGAGGCTGGCCATTCATTGCAGATAACCATGTCCTAAATAACCAAGTAAAGGAAGACTCAGACTCATCTAGAAGCAATGCACAACCAAACATTACCATCTGACCATGATGATTCATGCCTGTAAAAGGAGCAAAAGGCACTTGATATTGATTTGGTCTATACATCGTGTCAAAAACAACTGCATCGCCAAAGTGACTATAAGCAATCCTTGATCTTGCATCAGCCCAGAAGACATTAGTCATGCGGTTCTCATCATCAAGTTGAATTGCATAGTAGAAGCCAGGGTTCTCAGCTTGCATCTTCTTGAAATAGTTCAGGAGACAATGAGCATCTCTTCCAAGGGATTTCCTTCCACCAGGAGCCCTGAAATAGGTTGCAGGCAGAGGCGCAACATTTCTGACTAGATTATTAGGTTCTACAGGGAAGGCATTCCTAACATGGTTTGGTTCATGAGGCACGTGACTTCCGTCTGTTGAAACATAAACATCATTAGTGGCATCCAGCGTTTCAGCCATGTTTTTTGTAGCACCAGCAAAATGCCTGCGTGGTCGAAGGACCTTACCAGGAGTCCCCAGAGAGTGGTTATGTTCCTCAACAAACTTTGTCACAGCCCAATTGTCTGAATGTGAATCTTTCCTCACTATCCTAAGCACGGCATTGCAGCTCTCAATATTCTTCCTTTTGAAAACCTCCTTGGAACAAGCAAACTCCCAAGTCACAATTGGCCCATCAGGCCTACTACGTGTAAACTGACCAACATGGGTGCTAAATCCCATACGCTTAGCATAGTTATCATAAAATGTCTTTGCAGCATCTTCTGATTCAAATTCCATGCCGACATGCGGTAAAGCAATTCCATCATCATCCTGATTTCTAACTGCTGCTTCCGTATAATTCCGGGTTGTATTCTGCTTCTCAGTCTCATTCGGGTCAGCAATCACTGCCAAGTGATTATTCCCTTCCCTGACTTCCACGTCTACCACCTCACCATCCATAGGTGTAGCGTGAATGCAGATTTTGTTCTCTCTGCGTGACTAGAACCAAATCTTCATGTTTATTCCAACTCGATCAGCAGTACAAACAGCCTGAATAATCTCTCTTATTAATCTCTCTTATCAGAATTAAACAAAAGTAACCAGTTCAAAGCACTAATCCATGAAGATTAATGAACATATCTAATTATAAACAAGAATTGTAACAAAAACAAAAGGTGGTTATTGCATAGTAGGAAAAAAAACATATAACAAGAAAACTAAAGATTTTGCCTTTGTTCACACTTAAAGCAAAAGTCACTTGAAAAAATAAAGCATGTAGCAGATTTCTTGTTTCTCCTTCATTATTTCACTGCCATTGTCACTAACATGTAACCAGGCACTGCCTAATTACTATCCCAGCACAACAAAGTTTCATCAAGAATAAGAGCAAAAATTAACAAACCCATCAAAAAAACAACGAAAACAGCAGAATTATAAGAGCAAAACCACCCCAAGCAAATGTGCAGAGTGTGTTGTGTTTTGCATATCAAAATTCAAGTAAACAAATACCCAGTAACCACGAGATATTTAGTCTCTCATTTAAAAAAAAAAAAAAAACCACAAAATCATTGACAAAAATCAATGAAGTTTCAAACTCTATCGAAATGAAAGCCATAAACTTCAACATAAAAAATGGGGTCTTCATAAATAAAATGAAACTGACCTTTAAAAGGGTGATAGAGTGAATTAAGCTAATAAAACCTCTTTTTAACAAACACCCACTTCCCAAATCTTCTTTATCTCTCTCTTTTGTTAGGGTTTTTGCATAAAAATTTTGTCCTCTGTGTTTTTCTATTTTGAAGAGTTCTGTTTTCTGATTTCTTGGAGCGTTAGTAACCCTTGAATTCTTGTTGTCATTAAGTTTTACTTCAAGCCATTTTGGTTTATCAGTTTCACATTTTCACCCTTTCCTTTTTTAATATTTACAAGATTATACTCTGACGGTTACAATTATGGAAATTTTTATTTTTTCTTTCCTTTTTTTAGAAGGTGTTAGAGATATGGATTTTCGGTGTTTGTCAAGGTACAGGGCAAGGCCCATGGGATTTTCAGTTTTTCTCCTGATTTTCAACCAGGATTTTCATTTTTATTTTTATCTTGTTTATAAAAAATGATATATTAGAAAAATATTATTTAAAAATTAGATTAGTACAATTAAAATTATATTTTATAAAGATAAATTATAATTCATGTTATTTTTTTCAAAAACATAATATTTATGATGGTTTTAGCTCTTTCAAGTCTTATTAGGTTAACTCTATATATCCAAACTTAGTTTATTCAACTTTTTAAATGTGTTTGTTTGTAATTTAAAAAGTATTTTTGAATATTTTTGAATATTTTTAATATTAAATTATTTTTTTTATAATTTTGTATTATTCTAGTATGCTAATATTAAAAATAAAAAATATTATTTTGATATATTTTAAAATAAAAAATATTTAAAAAATAATTGTTATTATAATTTTAAATACTACTTAAAAAACTATCATCTTCATTTTCGTGTAACTTTGCATATAGACCGATTATAAATCAATTGAGGAGTATAGTAAAAAAAAAAATTAACATAATTTTTATTTTAAAATATATTAAAATAATATTTTTTTTATTTTTAACATCATCAAAATTAAAAAAAAAATCAAGAATTTTAAAAATGACACGGTAATACCCGGCCAATTGAAAAGGGAAAACAAAAATTATTGAACTTTTTTATTCATATTTTCTTCTAAAAGAAAACAAACATGGAAGGAAAAACAAAAAAAACAGAAGGGATCTTTTAGGCCTTTTAATTCGCATCCACCTCAACAAAACCCAACATGACAAAATCTAAACAAACCTCAACAATCCTCTGCCTACAAAGGCCATCAAAACATCCAAACATAATAGTTACAAGAAACTGAGGTGGCCGTTGAGCTAGTTGGAGAACTTGAAACAGAGTCCGACAACAACCTATCCTCCCCATCCATGCTCCTTGCAACACCAACCTCTTCAACCCCTCCTGTGCTATTAGTTTCCATAGCAACATGCATCAAACATCAAGTCAATGTTGTCTTCGAACCCTGTATGATTGAACAAGTCCGGAAGCTCGCAAGAATTCTCGAAAGGAAGATCAAGCATTGTGAGGTTCCATCCTGATTCCATACAAAAGCTCCATGCTGGCTCGTGCTCTTCGATGGTGCCCGTAATAACCATGGGAGATGCGCCATCCAAGCTTGAATCTAGCTGTGTGCATTGATCTTGCAACGACGGAGCAACCTTTTGTTCTTGTTCCTCTTGTTGTTGCGGTGATGGTTGTTCAACTCCTGCTTCTACTTCTATGCCGGGATTATCAATCGAGCAGTTACCAAGTTGTTGTTGTTGTTGTTCTTGGAGGATTTGGTCTATAGGGATGCCTTTCTCCCTCATCCGTTCTATATAATTGCTAGCATCAAAATTGGTCACAGCATTTGCTCCTCTATGTTCTATTGCTGCCATGTCATATGCTGCCGCTGCCTCTTCTTGCGTATCTTAACAGAAGAATTAGCAAACAAGAAGTAGACAAACAAAATCTGATTAGTGAATTAATTAATCAAGAATCAGCAAATTAAAGACCATGCAGGAAGAGTATAATTTTATGGAACATAATAAATAGAGGCTGATTGCTTTAAGTAACAAAGCTAGATATTTGGGAATTCACATGCCTGCCATGTACTTGTTATTTTAACAACAGGATTCAAATCTCACTTCTTGAAACATTAAGTTTGTGATCTTGATCGTGCCCTAGCTCATTGCTGAACAAGATCTTGTTGCTTTTAGACGGGCACAGCATCAAGAATCAGCCGTACCTTCAAGCTTTTTAACCAAAAAGATTTTCCAAGCTTGTAAGGCCCCACACCACCTTGCCTTTTCTCTTTTGGAAGATGTTTAGTTGGGATTCTTCTAGGTGACCAATCCTTTGTTTTTGGTGATTTTTTCCTGCTAGTACAAAGGGGAATGTTTATTTTAGCCCCTAAATATTTATCGACATTCCATTTCAACCCATGTGGTTTGAACTTCCCAATTTTAATCATGTGGTTCTGAAAAAGTTCAAGCCCTGGCCTCTATCCACCATGTATATCTAGCTACTACCTGACAAAATGCCCATCTTCCCTTCCTTTTGACCCCAGCTTTTTCATATTTTCTCCCATCTTTTCCTTCCGAGCTCCTATGCATAAGTCAAGAATATCCCACAAAAAAACATCTTAAATCTCAAAAGAATGAATTCACAAAGGAGGGCTCATCATTAGGTACTTGACCGCACTGGGAATTCTTGGAAACCAAATGATTTAAATGTGTAATCTTAAACTACAAGGACCAAAGTGGAATGTTGTTGAATCTACAAGGGCAAGAATATATTTTACCCCAACTCTTACACCCAAAAAGCAATTTGTGGTGTAGATCCTCTCTCGCCCATGAGCCAGGTATTCTCTTCCAATGAAATGAGACTGACTGAACAAGTTTTGACTTCAAAGCCACCGTCATCTACCTACCTGCAACTGCTATACATTTCTCCTAGTTATAGGCAACGTAGGCCGACCATGACGGTGACCACCGTCATCTACATTACCCTTGTAGTAGGGCCGCCACGGTGGCTAATTAATATGCAGATGTTGTTGTTTTTCAATTAAAAATATATTAAAATAATATTTTTTTTAATTTTTTTATATAATAAATTAAAACAATACGAAAATATTAAAAAATATTAATTAAAAATAAAAAAATATTTCTAAAACAAACAACATATTGCAATATGAAACCTTAATTAGGAGGCTTTGGTGACACTACCTAGCATTAGTCCTTGCATTAGCAATGGAATGCCCTGGGCTTATGCAAGCAAGAAGATTTAAGATCGAGGGTTTTTGGCAGAACTGACACGTGCCCATTTTTGTCATTGTAAGGGTTTGTCACGTGACCTCCTAATGGTGATTGAACGTGTGGGCATCGCATTCTATACTAATTTAGTAATTAGATTGATGTGGTAATCTAAAGATTAATCCTTTATATGATCTGATATGCTAATCTAACCTCGGCCTGATGCATCTGCAGGTGCTATCAGCTAAAAAACTCTTCTTGCAATCAAGACATCTAACCTTAAAATTTAATTCCATTATACCCCGACAGCCTTGTTTTTGGAATCTACCCAGCAGCCCTCCTCCTACTCTGCCTGCTCATTGTGCAATTCAAAAAAGATGTTGCGTGGTGTTTTTTAAATTAATTTTTTTATGTTGGTATATTAAAATAATTAAAATATACTAAAAAAAATTATTTTAATATTTTTTAGAATTAAAAAAACTTTGAAAAAACACCTAAAAACATAAACACAGACGGTATCAAACATCCGTAAAAAAAATCCATCTTTCTAAAAGTTTCACTGGAACTTTAAAGTAGAAAATATTTTCAAAAAGCACAAATAAACGGTGTCCGTCCAAAAAAAAAAACCCTGCCTTTCTAAAAGTGTCTTCAGGATAACTGGAACTTGAGTTGAGATAAAAGATTTGTTATCAAAAATGAAGCCAGATTTGCCAACTGGGGAAGATTTTGGAGAAAGTCGAAGAATTGTATTCTTCCCAGAGCACACACTCACGCTCGACATTCAAGTAAAATGGCAAATTGTTGTCGTCTCGTGCCAGTAAGGTATAGCTTCAATAATTATTGACAGTAAGATATGGGATATGATGAGACGAGAGAGAGGGAGAGGGAGAGAGGAGCATACTATAAGTTCCAAGATAGAGATATTTATTCCCTTGAACTCGTCCAATTCTGGCTTCCCATCGACCATTGTGATGATGCCTATCAAGATTCAAGCCAAGCAAGTCAAACTAATCATAGCCAGTGCCAGGAATCAAGGGATTAAATTATAATAGTCCAAAAAACCAACTATTGCTGAAGGGAAAGAAATAAAAGACGACAGAGAAGTGGCATTTACCTAGCCACCCCACGGTACTTTGAGACTCCTCTGGAGAATCCACTGCTTTTCCGTCTAAGTGATGCCAAGTACTCTTCCCTGGTCACCCTCTGCATCTCTTCGATCTCCGTTGTGTATGTTTCTATCTGCATCGCCATCAGTTTATGCTTAAAATAGGCTTGTTCGATCAACTTCACTGTAACTTTGCAATCTATCGTATGAACCATCCGACCCGGTTCATGTGAGTCAAGATCGAGTTACAATTCATAATGTGACTGGTTTGAGTGCAAGTTAGCAAGTTATCACACGATCTATCCGAGCCGGTTCATATGAATCAATACCGACTCATTAATGTGACTGGTTCGATTCACATGCTCACACGAGATTCATGTAATAATTGGACATGTAACTTGCCATTGAAGTACATGAATGTCGGCGATGGTCAATCCCTGAAAGAAAGAAAGAAAGAATGCAAGAATGAAAGAAAGTCAAGGAAAGAGT